CTTTGTTAATTTGATATTTTTTTAATAAAAATTAAGTTTTGCTTTGTTTCAGTTTATTCGTCTTCTTTAAGTGTCAGTAAACATTTTTCATTTATAGCGTAAATTAATCGTTTGGATATTTTTTCCTTAGTTATGATGAAATATGTCAGGGAGTAGCTACATAATATTTCAGTAGATTTGGATTCATTGGATTATGACCAAGCGTTCTAGAGATATCTTCTTTTGTGGAGGACTATCTAAGTAACTGTCTAATATTTACATTATATTAGAAAAACCACAAAAATCTCATGCATTCAGCTCGTTCGCCTAGTCGAACTACCATCAGCGACATTACCGCTCTGCCGCTGGTGGCCCTTTCAGTAAGAGAATATTAAAAAAAATTAATTCGTTTTTGCATCTGGTATCGGGAAGACCGAAATTTAAAATTAGCCCGAGAAAATTGAAATGCAAATTTGTTTCAAAAACAACATATAATTACAGTGAATCTTCTTGGTGTCTATCTCCGTAAGACAACGTGTATTTCTCAGAACATAAATAAAAATAGATATTAAACATTACCGCTTTAAGATGACCACATCCACAGACGACTGAAAATATTTGGAATCATGATAAAAGAATTCTTCATAATTAACTGTGAAGAAGTGCGTTTATTGCTTTTAAATAATTTTGTTTGTTAATCAATAACAGAAATATTAAATTTGAAAGAAAAATACGTTACGCTTGACCAAATAGCAACACACAGCACGACGAAGATAAAAATATTTTTTTTGAGCAGTGGCACACATTGCTTTTAAATCGCTGAGTTTCTCTAGCTTGAAATATAACTATCTTGCGGCCAGCTGAGTCGCAGCACATAGCTTTTAAATCGCTGAGTTTGTTGATTAACTTTCAAAGACAAGTATCTAACGCATTGGCGGGTGGCAATAAATTGCTGATAAATCGCTGAGTTTATTAATAAAAAATTATTAAATTCGAACAGAAAAAGAAAAAACAATTAAGTTCAAAGTGCGGGCTTCGATGTGCGCAACTTTGGGTAGAGAATTGTATATGTTCGAAATTGATGCCTCTAGATACTGCTTGTTTTGCCCAAGGCTATGAATATGCATACGTACATAGTATATACAGATTTTTCATTACTTAATGATAGAGATGTGTGATGGAAATAGGAGCCAGTTTTCCTTAAAATGTCCTCCACGAAGGCATCCTTTATCTTAAGCAGGTAGTTCTCATTTGCCCTGTTGTCAGCCCCATTGTTTACTTAACTTTATATCATAAGTGAAACTAGTTGAGGAGATTTAGTTTCAAGGATTTTACATCTTTTGAAAACAGTCTTTAATAAGAATATTAAGTTAATTCAAAGCAAAACGTTTGAAGTTAAAGACATACTCAGTCTTTTATATACAAGTAAATGAATATAAATCATTATTTTTTGTTCATCTTCTAGAAACTGATGTAAAGGAAAGATTTCAGATTTTCAAGTCTTTTTCGAAATCACTTCTAATTAAACTGAAGTTAAAATATATACATGTATTCATATTATAGGTAGATATATAATTTACACATTTTTTTAGAAAGTCAAGATAAAGCAAATAATTAAATAATAATGTTTTAGAAATTTAATGAAAAAATGAGAAAGGTGAAATTGGATATTTGTGATCTTATTAATTTGTAGTGAATAAAATTAATAATTTTGTAAATTAATTCTTTGAATCAATTTACAGAATTATTCAGAAAAAAATTTAAATAAATATCAGTCTAAGCGCCTGAATGAGAAAAGAAATTAAATAAGCTTTTAGAATAGAGAAAGAGTTGCTATAAATATCACTAAAAATAGAACTCGAAAAGCCTTTTCCAAGGTATTTAAAGAAAAAGTGTGAGAGACAGACAACGTTTTAAGATTTAGTTCCCAAGAAATGTTGTCTGGAAAAGAACTGGGTTACCCCCTAGAAGCGCTTTGCCCATTTCCGTTTTATTTTCGTTTTTCTCGTCATATTGTTGGAAACTTTGTTTCAAAAGAACGACTTCGCCATTTGTAAAAGTGTTTGAAATACGTGTCTGAAGTATTTTCTGTCCAAGTTCAATGCATTTTGATATATATTTGTTGTAAAGTCAGTGCTTTACATAGGTTGGTATGAAAGGAAAGAAGTAAAGAATCATTTTTCTCAGTTTCTGAATTATCGAGAATATTTCTTCCCATACATATTGCCTGTTCGAATCCCAATAATACTATACGGTCTTTCGTTCTTTTATAACAGAAAATGTAATTACAGATAACAGTTTTCATAAAATTAATTATAAATTATATGCAAACACACACACACACACACATATATATATATATAAACGTATAATTCATAATAATTTATAATAAAAAAACTTTCCATATACCATCTCCAAGGAACACAAACTCAATTTAAAACCATGAAAGTAAAACATTTTTAGCCAGAATTTAAATTAGTATTTTAAATAGTAATTTCAACTTCTTCTTTAAAAATTTGCAAAGAAAAATCTTCAATCGCAAAGAAACAAAACCAAAAGTAAATTCAAAATATTGAAAAAGTAGTTACTGTCGTTGATCGCAGATTAATCGGCTTATCAAGGGGATGAACCAATCTACCATCAATTAACAACAACAAAATTAAGAGAGTGTTTCATCTTATTTCCAAGTAAGCATGAAATTATTTGCTAGATTCAAACCATAAGTCAAAATTAATACTTAATCCAAATAAAGACATCTGTTCATTTATGTCAAGAATATATATATATATATACAATTTAAAATTAAAGAATGATTTCTAAGAGGAACTAAAACAAATTTAAAATCAAACGCTAAAGCTGCTTTTACAGGATGGTATAATCATTTTCTTCTAATTTTTAAAGTTTAAGTTTTTGTTGTATACATTATATATACAGTGGCTCACATTTGTTTTCGGACACTTGTATTGTTGAAATTTATTTGCATAAACCTTGCATTAAATAATGAAACATACACTTCAAATTTTTTTATATAAAATATTTATTATTTTTTTTCTATTTTAAGCTCATTACAAAATGAATATCCTCAAATTATTTCTCGAAATAAAATAATTTATTCCAAAATTGTTAATCGGTAACTGAATAATTCGGGCACTGGAATTGCTTTGTCGACATAATTTGGAAGACGATGTTTCTTGTCGTATGTTATTTTAAACAAACCTACATCACAAGAATTATCGTCTGCATTTGGAAATCATTTACTGAGTAAAATATGTAACACTGAAGTGAACATGGTAGTTGGCTTTAACGTCAAATTCAGTTCGGAATTTAAATATTCACGATATTAGATCATAAAGGTATTCAAAATAGTTAAAAAAATTCTTGCCACAAAGCACTCAACTATCTTTGATGAATCAAAACGATAGAGATTACATGGAGCTGCTTAAAAAGCGCGTCTGGACCACATTCTAAGCTAATGGGAAGGAGTCGAAAGTTTATACTATGAAAAATCAAACAAAATCCAGACATTACTGCTGGTAAACGTGCGGCGGATTTAGAAGAACGGCTTGCAATAAAAGTTAACCCTGCAGCTGTTAGAAGAGTCACAAAAGAATATGAATACAATGGGCAATGAGAAAGAAGATATTCTTTCTTAAGAACACAAAGAAAATATTCCTGACATTTGCAAAATGAAAGGCAGGCAAAGATTAATAATATTGAAATAATGTTATATTTCCAGAGGATTCAAAATAGGCGTGACAAGTCAAAAAGGCAGGCGATTCAAAATAGGGGAAAGTCAAATAAAGTACTAAATCCAAAAATGAATTGCCTACTGCTAAGCGGGAAGGCAGAAGCAATTAAAAAAAACTCAGATTTTACATTACGACCAAAGAGGCGTTTTTTTAACGTTTTGTGTGTTACCTTCATTTATTAAATATCATGTTCTTCGCACTTAAACCATAAAATTCAGTTCAACAGCAATATCGCAAAATAATATTAAAATGAGCTTATCTTTAGAATTTCCGATACATAGTCAGTTTCGCAATTGCTCGCTTTAAATCGTTGAGTTTGTTAATTAAACATTCGTTAAGCTTTTACAAAATGTGAAATAGATAATAAAACAAATTCCAAATCTGGGCTTCCAGATGCCCATATTCGGGTTGATACGTACGTTATTCAAAATTGGATGGCTCTAGGTACCGTTGTTTTTCATCACAGTGCGAAAAACATACATACATTTATGCAGATTCTTCATTATTTAATTTCTTTAAACATAATACAGGAATCTAATATTTGGTGACACCAATTTCAAAAGTGAACCGACATTTATAGTAAATCAAAGCAAAACGCCAAAACGAAATTAATAGTCCTTCTGGGCAAATTGCCACTTTGGACTAAAAATTCTTCTTTATAGTGTCAATTGCACGTTATCATTCACATTATTTAATTAAAAGTCGTTCTTCAACAATGAATGATCATTCTTTTAATTCCACAAATTATCTTACCTGAACTGCTTGGGGAAAATAATGCGATTTCCAAAACTTGAGCAAAGCTGTAAAAGATTTTAAAAATTCCACATAAAATTTCATTCTAAATACTTGTTTTCGCATTATCCGATGGTATAAACTATAATAATCCGAAAATTTTAGTTTGCGCATTAAATGAAGATACATGCAAAACTATCGTTCCGGTGTTAAATGTTAAGAACTCTAGATCCAATTTTGAACAAAAATTATTTTGCCACATTATATTGTCATTCACAAATAAATTTGTGCCTAACTTGAGCTCGATAGCTTATCACGAAGAAATATAAAAAACGCTGACGAACTTTTTACCATAGCGACAGACACGCTAAATGAGTTTAAATAAAAACTTATAAAAAGACGACTTTGCAGAAATCGGAAATAATCATGAATGCATTTTAAGATATTTTGCACCACGCTTGTCATTTAAATTTAATTTTTCCTACTGAAAAGACAAACATGACATAACCTAAAATAAACTAAATAAAAACTATTTCTTACCTGAACATTTTATAATTGTGTTTCATTAAACAATTGTCCAAAAACAGCGCTACCAAATTATACGATCTATTTACCGTGGTGTCGAGATTTTATGCTGTTCTGTTCAAAACAATATCGTTTATTTGAAAAGAATTGCACCAAGAAAAGTTTCTGGCATTAGTTTTTTTGTTTTCTTTTCGTTATCTTGGCAGAGATCCAAAAATTCGTTTTGGCGTTTACAAATGTTATCGAGTCAACTAAACTCTTAATTTATTCTTTTCCATAACGTTCAGAAAATTAATGCAGGGTCATGTATTGTTGAATGAAAAATTATAAAGGCCGCATAATTCTGATTTATGCGAAGGAGTTAAAAGAAAAGAGAAGCCATATGCTTTATGGTTATAAAAATGGCGATGAGTGCCTGTGGTTGAGAATGTAGCATTTAGTACATTAAGTTATTTTGTAAACGACTGAGTTAAGGTCTAGAAGCTTGAATATATTTTAATTAAATAATATTAATTTCTTAACGGGTTATCTTAAAATATTTGGACCTTAGTATTTGATGTTAGAGAACAACTGCATGGATTCTCTCTTTTTATTTATTTATTTATTAATCTGTTTGACTAACATTGAACATTATCTTTTTTCTTTGCTGCTGAATGGAAAGATTTTTACATAGTATGTATTTTGTATCGAAGGAAGGACTTATCACGTCATTATCAAAGTATCATTTGTCTTGTCCATACTTTATTTGTGGACATAAGACAAGTTAAATTTTCACACTATTCTCAATATCTCTGTTTATTTGTTAGGCCTTTCAGCCGGTACAGTGGTTAGTGACGCTGACTGCCGTACCGGTGAGCCCGGCTCGAGTCCCGGAGGAGGCCTAGATGTAAAGGAGAACTCAAAATACATGGCTAGCCGAAAAAGCTTTCGAGAGATTGTTGATAGGGGATTGTTGATAGAGGTACGAGACCCTCCCGGAGCGCTGTGCCTCAAACCTGGGGCGGAACTGCGCGGGTTGTGCGGCAGGTCTGTACCTGTACGGCCAATGATGAAATTATGGTTTTCTGTTCACTTCTATCTCTACCTGTGTATCTGTTACATACATGCTGGTGGCAAATAAACAGGTGCAGAATTAAAGAAAGTATTGCTCGGAATGTGTGGCTTTCAAGCGTACATTTACGAAAGTAACAGCTTTATATTAAAAGAAATTTTTTTTAATCCATTGCGACATGGAAATGTTTTTAAACTTCTGAGTAATTTTGTCATTTTTCGTAACAATATCCATGGCATGTACGCTATTTTTAATTCGAAGCTTATAATTTCAGTTATAATTTATGCAGATTCAAATTAACACATTTTCCCACTTAAATAACTCTGATTTTATAATTATTGTCGCCTACACATGATTATTCATTGATTCATTGAGAGAAACCTTAGTGATCATTATTACGGCGCGTCGGGAAAAGAGCGATATAATTGAGACTTACCAAACATTTTTAGGTCATTAAGTTGGAATTTTCTATTAGTGAAATTGCGTTTAAAGTCTCAATTATTATCGTTTGACGAAACGTGCTAAAGTTATTAACTTTGTTCGAGTTTTGAGCTGTTTTTCCTTTGATAAATCTGGCTCAAACCTCGAATTGAAACCTTACCATTTGTTGCTATTTTTTGTACATATCATGTATTTTTGAAATATGTTTAATTTTTACAAAAGCCCTTTTAAAATTATTTGTGCGTTAAAATTAAATTTTTTCTCACCCCTTTTGAAATCATCTCGACTTGTAATTTTAGCATTTAGTTTGTACGAGATTTTTACTACATTATTTACTACATTACTACATTATTATTGTTTCTAGTTGTTGAATGATTTTGCATTTTTGCTAAGGAACTATAGAGTCAAATGTATTTTTTAGCATAAGCTTTTAAACGATTCTTTTACGTATAATATATAATTATATATATATATATATACGTTTCATGCAGCCGATTTCAACGAAAAAAAGAGATGCAAAACTACATGTTATAGCAGTCCCATATATACAATTTCAACGTTCAAGGCCTGCTCGTTTTTGACTGGTGCGAGATACAGTATACGTACGTACCTACGTACAGAGGTCAAGAGAAAAAATCTCTTCTTAATACATTTTAAATCCAATTTACTGTCCGTTTTGAAAAAAAAAAATAATCCTTATTCTGTCCATACATATAGATATCATGCCAAAAAGCGTTGAAATGGGTTAGAAAACGGTCAAAATGAAAATTTTCATTGAAATATGATACCCGAAATTTTTTGCGATTACAGCACTTTCTTTGCACAAGGAAGTAAAAATGATTAAATTTATTTCATCCTTAGTTTAAATAATATTTTGAACTGTATGCGTAAGTAAACATCAGTGGTTCAGAATACTATATAACACAAGGTCATTTGATACCCAGTTGTTCTAAAGTCTTCTCTCAAAATATTGTTTACTGGGAGGTTCTTCAGTAAAGAAGTGAGTCAAGTGTTTTTTTTTTTTTTTTTCAAATATACACAGAACTTTTATATTTTGCTTTGGCCACAGTTTGCTCATCTAGTGGGCTTGCCCGCTAGTATATAACATTTGTCAATTTTTATGAAAAACCTTGTTTTAATTATCATTACATTCATGCATTTTATCAACAACTTCTATTTATAAATACCTATATTCCGTTAGCTTTATTTGAATAAACACGCCTATCTATGAAAGTGCAAGGATTTGCTGCAATTAGATTGTAGGATTGTGAGAGAGTGTTTGTATTAAGGACGATGCGTAATGGTTATTGCCTTGACCGTTTCGTGCTACACGCTCTTAATGAAATGAAGAGGCAGCCATTTCCTAAGTAGATCTTGTCTTTCGCAAATTGATCGTAAAATTGCTAGATACGATCAATAATCACTTGTGTGCTTACTTCAGATGCAGGGGGTTTGCGCTGTGTATAATAGAACTGCATATAATGATTGTAATTATCTGCCAATATCTTCATTTACATTTAGTTGGTTGATTGATTACTTCTAAACTCTTTTACATAGATTTGCGCTTCTAAATACAAACTGGGTTAGCATGCATCTTGTGGTGTTTGTTTTTAATGCCTACTTATGTTTATCAAAAAAGTTCTAGTTAAGCTTACGATATTATTTTAAATCTATCTACATATATGCATGAATGTATCGCTGTTATTAATGATATATTCATAATAATATTTTGTTTTTCTTGCTTAAATAAGTTTCCCAAAGTAGGAGTGTCTTCTCCCTTGGGCATTTGTAGCAATGGTTACAAATGCGCATGTGCGATTCAGATGATTCAAATGATGTGTCATTGCTAATGCAATTGCTTTGGTGGGCAAGCATGTTTTGTTTTCTTCTGTCATTCCTTGCAACTAGGCATGTAGTTAAGCAATACAGGTGCAGCAGCTTTTTACTTCCTTGTACGAAATAAAAGAAATATTATAATCGCGGAAAATGTCGGATATCATGTTTCATCGCAAATATCCATTTTGACCACCCCCAAATCGAATTGGACGATTATTTTGCGTGACATCTGTACGTATAGACAGAAAAGAGGACTCTTCTTTCCAAAAAGGCTTGTAAAATGGATTTAAAATAAATTCAGAAAGGAATTTGTTTCCCTGACGTCTGTACATACGTACGTATGAACGTATGTACGTACCTCGCATAACTCAAAAACGAGTTGTTATAGAACGTTGAAATTTTGTATATGAGACTGTTGTAACATCTAGTTGTGCATTTCCTTTTTTTTATTCCAGTCGGCCTTACAAACGTATATATATATACTAGAAAGCCCGGCGGTCATACGAAATGACCGCTGTTCTAGATATTATAAATTGTAAGTAAAATGATTTGTGCAAAGGTGTCTGCTAATTCAAACTGAATTACCCAGGGCAGGCGGAGAGGACGCTCCTTTGCTTACTGCCCCACGGGGTTTCCCCCCTTCTACTTCCGTAATTGCTTAAAGTAGAGTGCAATGAAGGAAACTATACGGTATATTTCTTAAAAGCCACCGCTAGCTCAATAAATAAAGGTGGTTTAAATAATAAAATGTTAATTCGCATGTCAAAGATTTCTTTGTGCACAACATTTCTTGTGTGTAGATCTTTCCATCCTTTTTAAGCTCGCCTTGCAGAGGACCATCCATTATTTTTAATTTCACGTCCGTTCTTTCACGAACTCTTGAATAGGCAACATAAAGTTGACCGTGTCCAAATGCAGGCTCAGGTAAAAAAATGCCAACATGCTTAAGCGTTTGGCTCTGAGACTTATTGATGGTCATAGCAAAGGCAAGTTTTACAGGAAATTGTCTACGTCTCAATTGAAACGGCAACCCTGTGCCGAGGCAACTTCACCCCATTGGCTAGTACAGTTACGCAAGCAACCAATAAACTATCGGCGACAAACAGACACTTAAGCTGCATATAATATATTTAGTTATTTCATTTTATTTGTTTTTTCATCGTTGCCGGTTGCATATTTCCGAATTCTGTTATATATAGATGTTAAATTTATTTAGAAAATGTTAAATGCACGTGCTCTTGTATTTTAAATTTTTCCAGCTTAGCTTTCTCATAATATTCGTCAGATGCTGCACTGCACGGGGAGTAAAACAATTTACAGTTACGCAAGCAACCAATAAACTATTGGCGACAAACACTTAAGCCGAAAATATATATATATATATATATATACACACATCCAGACCCTTACCCGGTTTGGTGAGCTATGTTTTTTATTCTTATATGTTGTTAAATTGTGAATATTTTGCTTTAAAATTGAACGAATTATGTTTTTAAAGTTTCTATGCCTTTGGTTAATCTGCCTGAGATAGTATTAAAATTATCAGCAGTTTAAAAGTAAAAGTGCAGCTAAGCCTAACGTGCTGCCTATTTGTTTATATATGAAACTTTTACTCTCTCTTATTTGTTTACATCTGAAACTCTTATCTGTCTCCTTTCAGAGTCTTTCAGCCCAATGGGAGCGGAAATTAACTGTCAGTTTTGTACAACGAAAATTTTGTCTTCCTGCACGTTGACTAAATTGCTTGCTTTTGCATAGAAACTTCAGTTTTCTTTGCAAAACGT